TAATGTGCACTATTTCTGGCAGTCTGCAAAGGCCCTAGGTGACCTTAGCAAGTCACACTCTCTCAGCCTCAGAAGATGGCTTGGGCAAATCCCCTCTGAAGAAACTTGCCAAGAAAACCCCATGGGTCCCCATAAGGCTTGAAGGCATACAGCAGCAACAAAATATTTAGGTTGCAAGTATATAGGCTGCAACTTTAGGTCCAAAACACACTGCAGAAATAATCCAATTTGAGACCATTTCAACTTCAATGCTAGGGAGTTCTGGGGACTGTAGTCTTGTAAGACATTTAGCCTTCTCTGTCAGAGAGCTCTTGTGCCACAATTAACTACAATTCCCAGGATTCTCTAGCAGTGAGCCAGGGCAGTTAAAGCGATCTCAAACTGGATTATTGCTGCAGTGTGCTTTGGACCATAGTGGGACAGCTATCTATAAAACAGTCTACATGATGCTCTTAGGGTTATGTTTACACACACACACACATAGATTGGACAGGTTTATTATATGTGCCTGCACATATACCCAACCTTTTCCTTCTGTCTATGCAGCTAAATATGCATAGATTGTGTGTGTGGCATATCTTCACAGGTACCTACTTCAATACATGTAAAATTGGGTTCTGGCAATACAGCTGTGTTGATTTTGTCTAAAGAGAACCAATATTATTTCTACTATGACAAAAGACTAGGTATAAGAAATCGATAACTAGAGAAGCCAGCGTAGAATTAATTGCTTTTAACAGGTGAAGGCAGCGATCCTAAAAACCCCTTTATTTTCAGAGTTACCTGAAAATGCAGCAGCAAAGATATTTAACAGCTTAGGGACTTTGAGAAAAAAGAGCAACTTAAAGATGCTTGCTAGATGTTGGTTGTTCCCTGCACAGGAAACTCCTCCTGAGAATGTGTGATTGCTCTCTGCCCTAAGAAGCTTGCAATACAAAATTTGACAACAGGGAGAAGAAACAGAAAAGGAGTAACAGGTGCAACCAATAGTTCACAGCGGAAGAATATATGTTTATTTTATTTATATTGATATAGGTTAGTTGTAATGGGATATGAAGGTTAAGAGAATGTATCAAATAACCATGAGTGGGGTCTGGGGAGGGATTTGGGAATAGATCATAATATCATAGAATCCTAGAGTTGGAAGAGATCTCAAAGGTCATCGAGTCCAACCCCATTCTGCCATGCAGGAACTCACAATCAAAGCATCCCCGACAGAAGGCCATCCAGCCTCTGCTTAAAGACCTCCAAAGAAGGAGACTCCACTACACTCTAGTCTAAGGCGTCATCTTCCACTGTGGAACAGTTCTTACTGTAAGGAAGTTCTTCCTAATATTGAGATGGAATTGCTTTTCCTGTAGCTTGAATCTATTGCTCCAAGTCCTATTGTCTGGAGCAGCAGAAAACAAGCTTGCTCCATCTTCAATATGACATCCCCTCAAATATTTAAACTGTGCTATCCTATTACCCCTTAACCTTCTCTTCTGCAGGCTAAAAATATCTATTTCCCTAAGCCTCTCCTCATAGGGCATGGTTTCCAGACCCTTCACCATTTTGGTCACCATTTGGATGGTGATACTGTTGTTATTTGTGACAAGTTGGATTCAACTTATGATTCCGTTATGAATGAGACACCTCCAAAAGTCCCCAGTCATCCAAAGCTCTGCTTGGGTTTTGTAAACTCAGAACCCTGGCTTCCTTGCTTGAATTAATCCATCTGTAATGTGGCCTTCCTCTTTGCCTGCTGCCTTCCACTTTACCAAATATTATTGTCTTTTCCAATGGTTCATCTCATCTCATGACATCTCCAAAATATGATAGCCTTGTTTTGGCTTTGGTTGAGTGTTCAGGCTTGATTTGTTTTTGGACACATGTAGTGCTCTTGGTGGTCCATGGTTATCTGTAGAACTGTCCTGCAGCACCACAGGGGGATATTTTGTTGTTGTTGTGTGCCCTCAAGTTGTTTCCAACTTAAGGTGAAGGAGGTATTCTTGGCAAGTCTTCAGATAGGTTTTTGTGGTTTTTTTGGGCTGTGTGTCCATGTTCTAGAAGAGTTTC